ACATAAGCTAAAAGAAAAAAGCCAGAAGTGGTGCTGTGGCTCAAGTGGTAGAGCACTAGCCTTGAACTGAAGAGCTGAGGGACAGCGCCAGACCCAGAGTTCAGGCCCCACGACTGGACCCATAAAAATAAAGTACTGTCTTGTTACCTTGTAACTTTATTGCCTATCACCTGTCACTCATTATTCTCCCATGGTTATGCTTTTATGGCTACAACATTGATAAGATGTCTTCATTATTCTAGATATTGGCAATATACATCAGAAGATATGGGTAATTTAATTGGCAGGATTTCTCCAGTTCTACTTGGTCTTCATCTCAGTGCCATCTAGCATTCTCCATTGTACTCATTATGCCTGAAACAGCCTTCTTGTTTGGTGTAGCCATTGGTTCCTTCTCAATTATTATATGTGACTCTCAAGAGCAATTTTCTTTGAACCCTTCTGTATTGGGTTTCCTTGATAATCAGACTTGCCTACATCCTTTCCTGATTCTAACTGTTCACCTTAATAGGATGAACTTCCTCTGTTCTGATAGAGTGGGTGTGTGCATGCACTGGTCCTGTGCCAGCACCCTACCAAATAGGTTAACTAGAGTTTTTTGGTAGTTTGTCTCATGGCCTTTCCTGCTCTGGCTGGCTTGTGAACTGGGATCCTCAGATCCTCAGCTGCCTGAGTAGCTAGGATTACAGGTGTAAGCCACCACCAGCACCTGATATTTCTTAGTTTTTATGTCAAATTAATTTTTATCTTTGTCTCAGATCTCTTGCTGCAACCCCAAACTATTAATTCTAAACTTCCTGCTAGATGCTTCTTCAATGACTTGTAGACTACGCTTGATATGGGGCTTGAATTGTGGGCCTGGGCACTGTCCTTGAGCTCTTCAGCTCAAGGCTAGCAGTCTACCTCTTGTGCCACAGCGCCACTTCCATTTTTTTTGGTGGTAAATTGGAGATAAGAGTCTCATGGACTCTCCTGCCCTGGCTGGCTGGCATTGAATGATCCTCAGATCTCAGTCTTCTAAGTAGCTAGGATTACAGGTGTGAGCCACCAGTGCTCAGCTTCATCATCTTTTTTGACTATCCTTTGAGACTTTCTTTTTTTTTTTTTTTTTGTCGGTCGTGGGGCTTGAACTCTGGGCCTGGGCGCTATCCCTCAGCTCTGCAGCTCAAAGCAAGCGCTCTACCACTTAAGCTACAGCGCCACTTCCGGTTTTCTGGTGGTTTATTGGAGATAGGAGTCTCACGGTCTCTCCTGCCCAGGCTGGCTTTGAACCGCGATCCTCAGATCTCAGCCTCCTGAGTAGCTAGGATTACAGGCGTGAGCTACCAGCGCCCGGCTCCTTTGAGACTTTCTTAGAATAACACGACGTGTCTGAGTTACCAAACACCTCCCCATCACTCAGTCCTCTAGCTTAGACCTCCCATTCTTCTCTCAAAGCCAATCTCCAGCTGTTTTTACTCTCTGTATAAATGATATCATCTCCAGGGATTCCATTTCTGTCCTTAAGTAAAGCTGAATTGTCCCTCATTTGAATTCTCATGCCACTCTTTGAATTTTACAATTTGCCATGTACTTTCCTCACTGCATTTACTATAGGTTCAATATGGCCCACACAACTTTTTCTTGCTTGCGTTTTTAGCATATAGGACAACTAGATGAATGGGATTATGATCTATCTCACACTTTTGTGATTAAAAAAACTTTTTTTGTGTGTGCTGGTATTGGGGCTTGAACTCAGGGCCTGGGCACTGTCCCTGAGTTTTTGTGCTCAAGGCTAACACTCTCCCTCTTGAGTCACAGTTAAATGGAGGAAAGATTCTCACAGATTTTTTTGCCCAGGCTGGTTTTGAGCCATGAACCTCAGATCTCAGCTTCCTGAGGCATATGAGCCACCATTTAAAAGGCTTAAAAACCTTTTAAAGGAGAATTTTTTTGTTTTTGTTTTTTGTCGGTCATGGGGCCTGAACTCTAGGCCTGGACACTGTCCCTCAGCTCTTCAGCTCAAGGCTAGTGCTCTACCACTTAAGCCATATTGCCACTTCTGTTTTTTTTTTCCTGCTTATGTGGTACTGAGGAATCGAACCCAGGGCATCATGCATGCAAGGCAAGTACTCTACCACTGAGCCACCTTCCCAGCCCCTTAAAGGAGAATTTTTAAGAGAACAAAGCACCTTTGGAAAAATACACTCTTTAGTGATTGTATTCATTTTTGAAGCCCTTCTGTGGATATAGCTGATGCTAAAATCTAAATGAAACTGCTATAGTTTAAAAACTACCAGGAAGGATTGTTTGTTTTTGCCTATTTTTAATCAGTAAAATGTCCAAGTATATTACACTTTATCCTTTCAGTCTTGAATAGGTATAAGGTCATTTCATCATACTTTTCTTAAGTCTATAATGAGTTTGTAAGAATATATTTTAAGTAAAAATTTTAGGTAATCCTGTTTATACTAGATTTTAAGAAAACTTCATTGAGACTCCATAAATTTATTGTAAACTTTCAAACCTTTATTATAGATAATGTTTCTCATTACATATTTCAGTTTTTTATTTGTAGTATTTATACTTGTATTTAGCTAAAGATTTCTCTGTACCATTTCCATTTTTTGTCACCTCTCTCATTTTAAAATAAATGAGTTTAGTTCTGAACACAGTTCTGAACACAGCTTTCTGAAAACAGTCTAATTGAGTTTCTCATTCATTTTTCTCTTGGGCTGCTTACCCAGGGGAATATTCTGGTGTGTATCCTTTTAAATACTTACATATAACTGCTTTTTAAGCTAGGTATTCCTGGCTGCTATTTTCATTTAATGCTTTCTCATCGTGTGTGTGTGTGTGTGTGTGTGTGTGTGTGTGTGTGTGTGTGCACATGCAGTGTGTGTGCATGTGCGTGTGCTCAATTTTTTTGCTCTGCATATATTTTCAGCTTTCATGCTTATCTAAATGATAGTTTACAACATGGTTTTTATATACTTTTTCAAGTAACCTAAATTCTTGTTTCTTCTGTCTCTATAGCTTTTGAAAACTTCACTGTATGTTGGCAAAAATCATTTTGCTACTGGAATTTGAACTTATTCTCGCTCCCAGTTTGTCATGAATGCATAGATAGTTAAATGTCAGCATTGAATTTTTAGTATTACTGTATTGATTTTATTTATTTTAAAATCTGGAATATATAGGCTGGGAATGTGGCTTAGTAGTAGAGTGCTTGCCTTGCATGCATGAAGCCCTGGGTTTGATTCCTCAATACCATATATACAGAAAAAGCCAGAAGTGGCACTATGGTTCAAGTGGTAGAGTGCTAGCCTTAAACAAAAAGAAGCTCAGAGATAGTCTCAGCCCTGAGTTCAAGCCCCAGGACTGGCAGGGAAAAAAATCTGGAATATTAACTTTAGAAAAAGTAAAAGGAAGCCAGACAGCAGTGGCTCACACCTGTAATAAATACTCTGGAAGCTGAGATCTCAGAAAAGTCCATGAAACACTTATCTCCAATAAACTATACAGAAAAAGCTGGAAGTGGCACTGTGGATCAAATGGTAGAGTGGTAGCATTGAGCAAAACAGCTCAGGGACATGGGACATCATCCAGGCACTGAGTTCAAGCCCCACAACCAACCAAAAAAATAAAATAAATGGACATGTTAAAATTCTTTCCAAAGAAACATTTTATGTACTTGAGCTTATGTATTACTTCTCCCATGATGTTTTTCAACATAGGCTAATAACTTATTGGATTGAGTGAGTGAGGGGCTTTTGGTTTTATTTCTTTGATAGTCTATAAATTCCTATTTCACTTCTTTGGTTTCTTTTTTTTTTTTTTTTTTTGGTCATGGGGCCTGAACTCTGGGCCTGGGTCAGTACCCTTAGCTCTTTAGCTCAAGGATAGCACTCTACCCCTTGAGCCACAGTGCCACTTCCGGTTTTTTCTGCTTATGTGGTTCTGAGGAATCAAACCCAGGGCCTCATGCATGCAAGGCATGCATTTTACCACTGAGCCACCTTCCCTGCCCCCCTTCTTTGGTTTCTTATGAGAAACAAATTTAATAGCTGTGTTCTCCTGAAAGACTATTACATTGGATCTTGCATTGAATGCTCTACAAGGCTATCTATCTGTATACCTATTCATTAACTTATTAACCACAAGTCTGTATGATGACAGCTAAATCTTATTTCATATATAGCACTTCGTAGGAAACTTTGAATTATTGATTTGCAGTTTCAGATGTAATTGTATTCAATTCTATTATGAGAAAGAATTGGTAGAGCACATTTTAAGTGTATCAGAACACCCTTATAAATGAAGGAAATCATCTTTATTTCTATTTTTTGCACATCAGTATGCATTAAATCATAACATTGTGAGTCCAGATTTTTTTCTTATCATACAAAGAACTTTATAGATTAATAATCTGTTTTCATGCTGTTTATTACATAAAACATTTCTTGTTCTTTGTTTTTGCTTTACATGGGATGCATGGGCTTTAAGACCATAATTTCTTTGGTAAGGTTTCATCTGTCTTTAGCATAAGACGTGATTTTTAGGCAACAATATCAGTTGTGATTTAGAAATAGTTTCTGATCCACATTAATGCTATTCTTTTTTCCTTCAAGTTATTAGTTAGAAGAAAAGTCTTGGTCCTTTTGAAATATTATCTGGAAGAAAAGGAATATATTCTAACAGATTTAAAAATTGGCCAACAAGCGCTGGTTATGGTAACATACAACTTTACCCAGCTTGTTGAAAGGCTGAGGCAGGAGAATCACTTAAGTCTAAAAATTAGATCCCAGTCCAAGACCCTGCTTTAAAACAACACAAACAAAACAGAAAAGAATTGGCCAACAAATTCATTGCCTTTGTTCTGTGATGAATAATTTGTAATTGTACACTCTTAAAAGTATCAAATGAAGTATAAACAAAATAAAATTACTTAGACTTATAAAAGTTATGGCTATAGCTTATATATTTTATAAATTTGTCTTCAAATTCTTTATTATTTTTGTTTTGATAGGAATGGGTCGGGAAGTTGAGAATCTCATACTAGAGAATACACAACTATTAGAAACCAAGTAAGTATAGAGTCTTTATTTATTTATTTGGAGGTGTTAAGGAATTGGACTCAAGGCCTCCCACTTGCAAGGCAAGGTATGAGAATTTTAACAAGGAACAAAAATAATGACTTTCTATCCAAGTCACATGACATTTCATTACTTTCACACAGCACTGTATGTCTCCTTACTTCATCTCGCACATGTGCACACACACTTACGGAATAGGTATAGGACCTACATTGACCTAATCGCTAAATTTTGTTGCTCTGTTTTTTATTTGGTGTTGTTTTTTGCAGAAACATTTTTTTCCTACTCTGCAAATATTCATACTTTTCTCTCAGTCTTCTGGATTATTCTACACTTTTCTTCCCTAAGATTTGTCTGTTATTTGTTTTCCTTAAATTTCCTATATTTCTGTACAAATGTTTGGATTTATATCAAGGTCACTTCTATAGAACTCCCAATTTATACCTATAAATTTTTGGGCACAGTTTGTTCAGCCAGCATCATATCTGGACATAGTTAACACAACAGAAAAGTATACTGGTTCCCCTTTTCTGCTTACTGTGTCAAAACAACTTTAGAACAACTGTATGTTCACCCAGAATGCAGCTATAATAAGAACTGGATCTTAGATTTCTTTAAGCTTTTGTTTATTGGTGGTCTGTCTTGTTTTAGCCATTCTTTGCTTGATAAGCATGAAAAACCTAAACTATTGATTTGTATTATTTTGCCTTTATCTATAGACACTCAGGTAGGATGTCTTGAAGTAGTCAGTTGTTCAGCTTTATTATGGTATGTTATTTTAATCTACAAAGGAATAGCTAAAAGATGTTTTAATGATGTTTTTGAAATATGTGTTTCTTAGAAATGCTTTGAATGTAGTGAAGAATGATTTGATAGCAAAAGTGGATGAGTTGACCTGTGAGAAAGATGTGCTGCAGGGGGAACTGGAGGCTGTGAAGCAAGCCAAGCTGAAGCTAGAGGAAAAGAACAAAGAACTGGAGGAAGAGCTTAGGAAGTAAGTTTTAACTGTTGCTTAAATCAGACTCTCCAGAATACCACAAAGGATTACTAGTATTTAAGTCCTTAAGCAAATTGCTGCTAGGCCCGAGTGAAGTGCCCATGCTGCATTGTTTGCCTCTGTTCTGAGCAGCCTCCTCCATTTACCAGCCTGTTATACAAATAAGATCAATTTTTTCCTCTCTGTTTTGTTTTTGTCGGTCATGGGGCTTGAACTCTGGGCCTGGGCGCTGTCCCTCAGCTCTTCAGCTCAAGGCGACTGCTCTACCACTTGAGCTCCACTTCCAGTTTTCTGAGTGGTTTATTGGAGATAAGAGTCTCACAGACTTTCCTGCCCGTGCTGGCTTTGAACCGTGATCCTCAGATCTCAGCCTCCTGAATAACCAGGATTACAGGCGTGAGCCACTGACACCAGGCTTTTTCCTCTTTACTTTGATGTAAAAAAACTTAGACCTGCTCACATATCTTTAATAACAAGGACATTAGAATTCATTTTTTAATATATATTTTTATTGTAAAGATACTGTACAGAGGGGTTACAGTTACATGAATAAAGTAATGAGTGCATTTCCTATCAAGCATTGTTACCCCCTCTGTAGTTTGGAATTCATTCTTTTCCTTCACCTCGATTTCTTTAAGACCTATTGTTTGCTGTTGTTTGAGATAAGGTCTCATTACAAAGCCCAGGGAGAGTGGAACTTGCTTTGCCTGTTGTTGTTTTGAGTGATAAAATAATATTTTTTCCAAATTGAAGGTGGCTAACTACTGTCTCTCTAACAATAGTAAAATAATCCTTTAGTCATAGTTAAAACTCTTTATTCTTTCCTTATTTGAAAAGATGACTTAAATTCAAATAACATGATTTCTGTTTTGTTTTGTTTTGTTCACTAGAGCTCGTGCAGAAGCTGAAGATGCCAGGCAGAAGGCAAAAGATGAGGATGATGTAGGTTTCTAATTTGGGACTTCTTTATACCTCACTGTGTTTTGATACTTTGGGGAATTTTTTCTAATAAATTTTGAATAGATAACTATTATAAGGTTCTAAAAAAGACAGCAGACATGGCCGGGCGCTGGTGGCTCACGCCTGTAATCCTAGCTACTCAGGAGGCTGAGATCTGAGGATCGCGGTTCAAAGCCAGCCCGGGCAGGAAAGACCGTGAGACTCCTATCTCTAATAAACCACTAGAAAACCGGAAGTGGCGCTGTAGCTCAAGTGGTAGAGCGCTCACCTTGAGCTGAAGAGCTGAGGGACAGCGCCCAGGCCCAGAGTTCAAGTCCCACGACCGACAAAAAAAAAAAAAAAAAGACAGCAGACCTGTTTGAAAGAAATGGGATAGCTCATCCTTCCACATGGTATCGAGTGAATATACCATCCAGTTTCAGAACTAGAATGTTATCAAACATGAAAACTACTATTTCCTCACATCCAAAGAAAACTATGATCCTTTATTTATTTGTATAACTTAAAGAATAATTTTATCATACCAAAGAAATATGTACATTTATATATGTGTACACACACACACACACACACACACACACACACCTATTATGTATGGTTTTCCTGTTTTATCTCACCTTTAGGGTCTGGAGGTATTGCTTTGTGGTAGAATACTTGCATGTTCCATGACCTGGATTCAATCCTCAGCAGCACTAAAAAGGGGAAAAAAATTATTTATTCCTCAAGTCTTTCTTCTTTAACTGGACAATATGTTTTCTAGATTTACCTAATGTTGTAGTATTGTATAAGTTTATTCATAATTCCCATTATATGAATATTTTACAATTTATCTGTCCTCTTGTTGATGAATATTTAGGTTGTTTTCAATCTTTTATTGCCACAACAATAGTGTTAAGAACATTATAGTAAATGACTCTTGATGTGGAGACTTGTGGAGTTTTTTTCAGAACACATAATTATTGGTGGGATTGCTGTGTTGCAGAATTCAGGTCCTTTATTATTTGTTTGTGTTAAGTTTTTTTTTTACTGTATTTTTTTTTTGTCTTTTCTTTTTTGGTACTGGGGATCGAACCCAGGACGTTGCACTTGCTAGACAAGCGCTTTGCCACTGAGCTACATCCCAGCCCTGTGTTAAGTTTTATTGAGAGAAGAGGACAAGTTCTGTGTCTGGAGGACAAAGCTGGTCTTGCTGAGGGCTAAGCACAGCTTTAGTCTCACTGTTACAGACCTTTCAGCTTTGATCCAAAAATTTATATGTTGTTTTCAACAAAGCATAAGAAGGAAGCAAGAGAAGGAATTTAACTTGCAGTTGTCCCTTTGGGTGCTCTGAGCACTGTGTATCCTCCATACTCACATCCTGTTCTAAGGATAATTCTAGCTCATGCAGTGTTCTCTATAATCTACTGACATTTAAGTCAGTCTTACAGTTGAGATCCTTGGTAACTAAGTAATAAGTTCTCCATTTGTGCTGGTGCCTGGGTATACATATAGTTGGGTAATTTGAGATAAATGAATTCTTTCTAGAACTAACTTATACCAGTTTGTGAATGACAATTATTATAAATATGAATTTAATAATGTTAGGGCAGTGTTTCCAAGTAAAACTTATGAAAACATTGAATCTGTATAGATAACAATTTTTGGTTCTAGTTCAAAGTCTTCCCTTATTTTTTGTAGTTCCTTTATAATACATTTATATATCAGTGTTTATATTCAGAAATTAAACTGCCTGCCCTTTTTCAGCCATAAGTAATAATTGTCTGTTCATTTTACATCTATTAGATTAGAAATTAAGAAATATATAAAAACCTATAAACTCCTGCATTGATTTGTCATCATATTGTATTGTAGAGTGATATTCCCACAGCCCAAAGGAAGCGATTTACTAGAGTAGAAATGGCGCGTGTTCTCATGGAGAGAAACCAGTATAAAGAAAGATTGATGGAGCTTCAAGAAGCTGTTCGATGGACAGAGATGATTAGGTTTGTACAAAGAAGTACCCTGGTGTTTTGTTAATATTGTCTCATAGATTATGTCCCTTTGTTCTAAAGTAGATAGTCCTGCCTTGAGGGTCCAAGCCACTTTCTCTGTTCTCTAGGAGAGACTTTCTAAAGTAATGCTTAGAACAGGATTAGAGACACCCAGAGACTGAGTGTCTTTTGGAGCAGTATTTGAAAAATGTTCCCATGACCTGTAAAAGGAAATTTTTCTTAGGAATGATGGTAATTTTTCAAAACAATATTGAAGTGGATATACATTCACATTGTCAGAAAAAGATTTCATCTACAACATAGGAAAGCAAATCATTTTTACTTACTATCTTCCTATGAATTATATTTGCTTGATTTTTTTCTCTCCTATTCATAAAAAATATACCTTTCATTGACATCTACTGAATTGTATTTAAATTTTTTTATTGTTATTATAAGGGAGATATACAAAGGAATTACAGTTACAAAGTCAGGTAAAAAGTACGTTTCTTTTTGGACAATGTCACCCCTTCCCTCGCTAATTGTCTTTTTTTAATATGTATTAATTATACACATTAGTGAAATTCAGTATGTTGTGTCAACACATGGAATGTAGTGTGTACTGATCGAATCAACTTTTATATCCACCTTCCCCACCTACCAGACTCTAGTAATAGCTATACTACATGCAAACTACATGTAAGAGAGAATAGGGGATACTTGTCTTTCATTAGATTTTCAGTCTCACTTGGTGCTGCCATCTAATGGTCATTTGCTCAGCAACATATTCCTTTAATTCAGAAGGTGCTCACATAAAGTTTGCAAATAAGTTGCCAACTAACTAGTTCACACACACACACACACACTCACACACATATATATTTTTTAATTTTATTTTTTTTCCATCAGTCAAGAGGCTTGAACTGTAGCCCTAGGCGCTATCCCTCAGCTCTTCAGCTCAAGGCTAGCCCTCTGTCACTTGAGCCACAGGGCCACTTCCGGTTTTCTTAGTGGTTTATTGGAGATAAGAGTCTCACAGACTTTCTTGATCTGGACTGGCTTTGAACCATGATCCTCAGATCTCAGCTTCCTAAGTAGCTAGGATTACAGGCATGAGCCACCAGTGCCAGGCTCACTCATATTTTTTAGTTTGGATTGTCATCAGATTTACTAGTAACAGTATACATAGATATATCCTTTTCAAGTTTATAAACTTTTACTTCCTCATGATTAACATTTACTTAACAACTTTTTATTTTTTTAATTTTGTTTTATTGTAAAGATGCTGTACAGAGAGGTTACAGTTACATGAGTAAGGCAATGAGAACATTGCTTGTTGAGTATTGTTACCCATCCCTTGTTGTTCTCTCACTATCCCTTCCCTCCCCCACCTCACTCTCCCCCTACTCCATCCAAAGTTCATCCAAAGTTGTCAACTTCATTTCCAATATAGCTTATTTTTTATTTATGTATTTACTTTGGTCAGTTGTGGAGCTTGAACTCTGGACCTGGCCACTGTCCCTGAGCTCTTCAGCTCAAGGCTAGCACTCTACCACTTGAACCACAGCGCCACTTATGGTTTTCTGGTGGTTAATTGGAGATAAGAATGTCATGGACTTCCCTGCATAGGGTAGCTTAAAACCATGATCCTCAGATCTCAGCCTCCTGAGTAGCAGGGATGTGCCACCAGTGCCCAGCTTTTAACAGTTTTTTACTAATCACTGTCATCCTAGGGTGAAGTATATATTTTGCAACTTGCTTTCATTTTATTTTCAACAGCTCTGGAGGAGATTAGTATTCTAATCTTCATTTGTTGGACAAGAAAACTAACCTTTAGTAAACTATGCCCCCCCCCACCCCCAACTGTCATGGGGCTTGAGCTCTGGGCCTAGGCACTGTTCCTGAGCTCTTCAGCTCAAGGCAAGTGCTCTACCACTTGAGCACCACTTCCATAAAGGATGTTCTTTACTGTAGAATTTAATAAATATGTCGAGTAAATAATAAATGTTTTAAAAACAGAGCATGTAGCCAGACTATATTTTTCTTGCTGTTTTTTTGTTTTGTTTTTGTTTTTTTGCTAGTCATGAGGCTTGAACTCCTGGGTATTGTCCCTGAACTCCTTTTTGCCCAAAGCTAGGACTCTACCACTTGAGCCACAGTACTACTTCCAGTTTTGTATATGTGGTTAATTGAAGATAAGAGTCTCATGGACTTTCCTGCCCGGGCTGGCTTTGAATTGTGATCCTTGGATCTCAGCCTCCTGAGTAGCTAGGATTATAGGGATGAGCCACCTGGCTTCTTTCTGTTTTTAATACTAGAAGCCAAGCAGTCCAGTCAGAAACTAAAAGAAAATGGAAGCTTAGTTTGAACTGTTCATTGAACTAAAAGATGCCTTAATTAGCCAGGCACCAGTGGCCTACCCCTCTAAGCCCAGAGTTCAAGCTCCACAACTGACAAAAAAAAAAAAAAAAGATGCTTTAATTAGTCCTTAAAATGGTATAAAAAGGGGCAGGAGTGGGGGGAACTCTGTAGGGATAGCAGAATCCTTCCTGTGTTACTAAATCAATTTGGAATGTTGAGGTTTTTTTGAATTACTTGTCCTTTTAGTTTCTTCTTTTCTTGTTTCTAAGTCAGTTTGTGGCAATGGAAAAGTTTTATTCCTACGAAAAATACTCATTACAATAGTAGGACTTACATACATGGCTTAAATGTTAGAGCACTTGCCTAACAAACACAAGACCCTGAGTTATAAGCTATTTCATAAAAGCTAAGAGTACAGATGATAGAAATTTTTATGCCTTTATATGTAAACAGGGATTTTTAAGGCAGGTTTTTGTTTTGGTCCCATTCTTGGGCCTCAGGGCCTCATGCTTTTGCTTGGCTTTTGTGCTCATGACTGGTGCTCTACCACCTGAGCTACAGATCCTCTCCCAGATTTTTGCTGGTTATTGGAGATAAGAGTCTTCCAGATTTGTTTGTCTAGGCTGGCCTTAAACTGCAATCCTGAGAGTTTGCTTCTTTAAAACTGTGATTAAGCAGGGAACCAAGTGGCTCATGCCTGTAATCCTAGCTACTCAAAAGGCTGAGATCTGAGTTTGAAACAAGCCTTGGCAGGAAAGTCCATGAGACTCTTGTTTCCAATTAACCATCAAAAAGCCAGACATGGAGCTGTGGCTAGGTTGTATAGTGCTATAGTCGTGAGCAAAAAAGTTCAGGGACAATGCTCAGGCTCTGAGTAAGCTTCCAGACGATCACGAAAGAAAGAAAGAAAGAAAGAGAGAGAGAGAGAGGGAGGGAGGGAGGGAGGGAGGGAGGAAGGAAAGAAAGAAAGAAAGAGCCAGGCACCAGTGGCTCATGCCTGTAATCGTAGCTATTCAGGAGGCTGAAATCTGAGGATTGCAATTCAAAGCCAGCCTGGACAGGAAAGTCTGTGAGACTCTTATCTCCAATTTTAACCACCAGAAAACTGGAAGTGGCCCTGTGGCTCAAGCGATAGAGTGCTTACCTTGAGCTGAATTCTGAAGGACAGCACCCAGGCCCAGTGTTCAAGCCTCATGACCAACAAAAAAAAAAAAAAGAAAAGAAAAATCAGTGTGATGAAAAAGATATGCTCTTTTTATCACTTTAGCAGACTCATGGTAGTCAAACAATTTCCATGCTGAATGTAATCATTGACTCTCCTCTATGTATCCTACAAACTTCTTGAATCTTTTGTTCTTCAGTTAAGTGAGCTGAAACATCTAACTGGTAGTATTTTTCTTTTTGTTTTGTAATATAGAGCATCAAGAGAAAATCCAGCCATGCAAGAAAAAAAAAGGTCAAGCATCTGGCAGTTGTAAGTACATTAAGGGTATCAGACAGCACTTTGAGACAAGATCATAATCAATTTATTTTTTTCAATTGGGAGAAAATAGCTAAACTGAACTTCTTCTTTTTGAATATAGTGTACCAACTGGGTAAGGCTGTTCTTGAGGACCAAAAATATATTCTTGTAAGCTGCATCATGCTGGTTATGCATTTGGTGGAATCCTTTGCTAGACTAAGTAAACCCTAATGAGAAATTCTTTATAAAGTTGACAGTTACCTAGCTCCTCATTACTGAGTTACTACTGTTTGAAGGAACTTCGCAAAGTGAGGATGAGAAATTTAATGTTTGTAGAATTTGATTAGTATGAGGATATTAACCTTGATTATGTTTGTGTGAGATGTAACTATGGTTAAAACTTAGCATTTTGGGGTGAATCGTAAAATTTTTTAAACTGGACATGAAAGTTGTTATATAAATGAGCTTAATCAGAAAATACATAAGATCTATGTTAACTTGGTAATGTGTGTTGTAATACTTCCTTCTAATAGCTTCTCTTTAGAACTGACACACTAAAAGCTTCTGTTCAAATCACGTGGCCATAATATTACTGCTTAACAACTGCTTTTATTGCTCCAAGTAGGAGCTAGCTAAGGTTTATTTTGTTTATTCAATAGAAGTTCCCTGGCCCAAGAACTTCTCCCTTTCATTATGGAAATTGCTAATAAAGGAAAGGCATTTGGCATAAACCCAGTAGTTTCTCTTTTTCCAAGTCTGAGTTTGGTTGTGAGTTACTGCTAAGGCTTCAGTGTATGGCTACAAAAATAAAAAATAAAAACCTGTCTTCGCCAATTTCTAACCCATTGCCTTGTAAAAGCACTTTGGATTTCCCCCCTGCATTGCTTCGGACCAAACCCAGGGTCTTGCACATGCTAGATAAGTGCTTTACCGCTAAACTACATCCTCAGTTCTGAAGTTTCCTTGAGCATACAAATTTGTGGATAATCATGAATTGTTCATGTGGATGTGCTAAGCACACATATTTCTTTTCTTTTAAGTTTCAGCAGACTTTTCAGCTCTTCTAGTAATACAACAAAGAAGCCTGAACCTCCTGTTAATCTGAAGTACAATGCACCCACCTCTCATGTCACTCCTTCTGTCAAGAAAAGAAGCAGCACTTTATCTCAGCTCCCTGGGGATAAGTCCAAAGCCTTTGATTTCCTTAGTGAAGAGTAAGTATTTTCCAGGCTAATGGTCTTGCCCCAAGTAAATTAACAGACTAGAATTTTCTTGCTCCTTATCAGATCTCTTTTAAGGAATTAGATTCATCTATAAAGAAACATAGCTACCTTTAAGTAAATGATTTGCAGCCAATACTTTTTCGTGAAAATTCTATTTCAAAGTTCTTTTTTTTGCCAGTCCTGGAGCTTGAACTCAGAGTCTGGGTACAGTTCCTGAGCTTCTTTGGCTCAAGGCTAGCACTCCAGCACTTGAGCCATAGAGCCACTTCCGGCTTTTTGTTTATGTGGTACTGAGGAATTGATTCTAGGGCTTCATGCATACTAGGCAAGCACTTGACCACTAAGCCACATTCCTAGTCCCCACTTCACAGTTCTTTATTTTTTTTTTAATTTTTTATTGTAAAGATACTATACAGAGGGTTACAGTTACATGAGCAAGGTAATGAGTACACTTCCTATTGAGCATTGTTACCCCCTCCATTGTTTTCCCCCTACTATCCCTTCCCTCCCTACCTTCCCCAAGGTTCTTTTTTTTTTTAATTGTGATTAAGTGATTACATAATTTCCCAAATTTCACAGTATTGTGGAATAATGATGCTCATTTAAAGTCACAAGTTCATTCTACACAGTTCTTTATTTTTTATGCCAGTCCTGGAACTTGAACTCACTGTCCTTGAGCTTCTCTGTGCTCAAGGCTAGCACTCTATCATTTGAGCCACAGCACCACTTCTGGTTTTCTGGTGGTTCATTGGAGATAAGAGTCTCACGGACTTTCCTGCCCAGGCTAGCTTTGAACCACAATCCTCAGATCCCAGCCTCCTGATTAGGATTACAGACTTGGGCCACTGGCACCCAGCAAGAAGGATTTTTTTTTTTTTTGGTTGGTCATGGGGCCTGAACTCTGGACCTGGGCACTGTCCCTTGGCTCTTCAGCTCAAGGCTAACACTGTACCACTGAGCCACAGCACCACTTTCGGCTTTTTCTGCTTATGTGGTGCTGAGGAATCAAACCCAGGGCCTCATGCATAGAAGGCAAGCACTCTACCACTGAGCCACCTTCTCAGCCAAGAAGAAATTTTTTGAGTGCTTGATTTTGTACATATGATGATATTGATCAATGTTAATAGAAATGCTAAAGGTATTATTCTTAATAAGCCTTTATTGAAAATGATGTACATTTCCTTTGTTGTCAAAAAGATTTAGTTGTCTCCTTTAATCTGTTACACATAAGGTATATACATGGGGCTTGTAATGTGGCTTAGAGGTTAGAGTACTTGCTTAACATGCATAAAGCCCTGGGTTCAATTCCTCAGTACCACATCAAAACAAAACAAAAGATACATATACAGACTAACCTCTAAAAGTTGGTGAATAAAAATGAGGGTAGCTGGGCACCGGTGGCTCACGTCTGTCATCCTAGCTACTCAGGAGGCTGAGATCTGAGGATCATGGTTCAAAGCCAGCCCAGGCAGGAAAGACCATGAGACTCTTATCTCCAATAAAACTGGAAGTGACGCTGTAGCTCAAGTGTTAGAGCACTTGCCTTGTGCTGAAGAGCTGAGGGACAGCATCCAGGCCCAGAGTTCAAGCCCCACAACAGACCAAAAAAAAAATATATATATATATATATATATAAACAGGCGCCCATGTCTCAAACCTGTGATATTAGCTACCCAAGAGGCTGAGTTCTGAGGATCACAGTTCAAAACCAGCCTAGGCAAGAAAGTTCACAGGACTGATCTCCAATTAACTACTAGAAAGCTGGAAGTGGAGCTGTGACTCAGGTGTTAGAACACTAGCTTTGAGCAAAGAAGCTCAGGGACAGAGCCCAAGCCCTGAGTTCAAACCCCTGGACCAATACCGCTCCCCCCCCCAAAAAAAACAAAGTATATAGAGATAGATATAGATAGATTTAATGACTCAGGTGTTACTAGGTTTATATTGTATAGTATCTATAAAATGTCTAGATTTGATAACTGTGGTCTATACAAGTTACTCCATAAAAAAATTTTAAGGTGGCACTAATTTATAAAGCTTGATCAGTACTCAAGAGAAAACACTTGAGATCTTCAGATACATACTTCATAAAAATTTAAATGGCCAAAAGAAATTACTTTCAGGGGCTGGGAAGGTGGCTCCGTGGTAGAGCGCTTGTCTTGCATGCATGAGGCCCTGGGTTTGATTCCTCAGCACCACATAAGCAGAAAAAAAAAGCCAGAAGTGGCATTGTGGCTCAAGTGGTAGAGCGCTAGCCTTGAGCTGATGAGCTGAGGGACAGGGCCCAGGCCCAGAGTTCAGGCCCACGACCGGACCCCAAAAAAAAAAGAAATTACTTTCAGAATTTTTAATATTTACTCTATAGTTCTGAAGCTTACTAAGTTATTTGTACTTTTGTCTTCTGAAATAAGTTATTAGTGTCAAAATCATTTCAGAATTTTTTTTCCTTTTATATGGCCTATATATGAAACCTGATAGAAATTTGATGGCTGACATTTCAGTTTAATATAACAGGCTGAGTTGGAGCCATGGCTCAAGCAGTATAGTTATCTGCCCAGTAAATCTCATGTTCATACCCAGTACTAGTACCAAAAAAATAAATAAGATACCCATCATTTTTTAAAGAAATAACATATTAGACTGCTGCTTCACTACATAAACTTGAAAACTCCAGGTTTGGTATAATACTAAGCTTTTATAGTCTGAACAAGAAAGTTTGGAGTCAAGTAATTTTTGTTTATTTACATTTTGTTTTTTCTGCGCTACTTTATCAAGAGAAGGGAAATAACTTTTCTATTCATTTAATCAAAAAAAGAAATGTGTTTTCCTTTTAGAACTGAAGCTAGTTTAGCCTCACGCAGGGAGCAGAAGAGAGAACAGTATCGGCAGGTGAAGGCGCATGTTCAGAAGGAAGATGGTAGAGTGCAAGCTTTTGGCTGGAGTCTGCCTCAGAAGTACAAACAGGTAACTGGGAATGTGCTGGATGTTTAGGGGAACATATGGGGTGAGAGGAGTGTGTGAGTGTCCCAAACACTCACTTAAAGCTGCGCGTACATGTTTAGACAAGTGTGGAGAGGCTTTCTAGCACCCTAGAGCATAAAAAAAAATATCTCTGTACCTCTTAAAGACGCAACACATTTGCGTTTAAATACATATGTGCAAATTAGTAGCTTTTCTGAGCTTCCTTAGTTCCCTCATTTTTTTCCAGTTGTTACTCGATTTTCTGCTTATTTTTCAAATAAAAATGATGAATCAACCTGAACGTGATTTTCAGAAGCAAATATGGAACAGAGATGTTGCTTATGTCTCAAGGGTTCTATAAGTTCACTTTTGACAGTACTCAAGACCTTGTTTTTGTTTTTGTTTTTTTATTGTAAAGATACTATACAGAAGGTTACAGTTACATGAGTGAGGTAATGAGTACACTTCCTCTTGAACATTGTTAGCCCCTCCATTGTTTTCCCCCTACCATCCCCTCCCTCCCTCCCTTCCCCGAAGTTCTTTTTTTTTTTGATTGACAACACAGTTTTTTTTTATCCATTTGCTTATCAAGAAAATCAGCTGCAAATTAGCAAACTGGGCGGCTCTTTAAAAAAATGAAAACCAAAAACATTTTGTATTAGTGTATTGTGATTCAGAATACAAACACTACCTAGGGATTGACAGTTGATAAAAATTCTCCTTTTTTCATAATGGCCCTAATTCTAAACATACTGTAAAAATGTGGAAAAGATATTAGTCACTGTGAAAATTATTTCTCTGGACATGAGAAAACAATAATTGCTGGCATGTTATGTAAAGAAATTGTACTGGCAACACACACATACACAAGAAATTTTACTAATGTGTGATAATCACTATTAGTAATAATCCCTAACATAATTGCTAATATTCTTTAGTGTTGTAGCAGAGGAGAAATTAGTCATGAAACACTGAACAAAAAACTCAAAGGCAGAAAAATTCTATTTCATTTTACTTCATTTATTTCTTCTGATTTATTGTTTTAGATAGTCTCTTTTTACTTCTTTATACAGACCAGGTGGCCAGGAACTCTGAATTCTTCTGCTTCTACCTTCTGAGTACAGGATTACAAGTGTGTATTCACCACTTCTAGCTGTTTCCTTAATCTAATATGCATTTTACTAAAATGTGTGGCTCATTCCCAGAAATTTTGCATTAACCCATCTGTTTTTCAACATCTCTATAAAATGACATTTATTGCATAAAATTATTGAATAAGATATGTTCTCTTTCTTGCATTTGTTTAAATAAGAGCTTATTTGGAGCTCAGTCTAAATCAAGCCATATATATATATATATATATATATATATATATATATTTGATGTTGTAAGAACTGAATTCATTATTAATCACTTTATTTTCTGAAACCTTTAAAAAAGTTTGCTTATCTTGATCCTTTGCATTC